CTGAGCCGATGTAAGGGGAGCTTTCTGGGGTGTGGTCTGCATCATCTTTTATCTTTCAAGAGATAAAAATGAAAGAAGCCCGCGCAGAGGTAGGGGCCTGACCGCCACCAAGAAAGAAGTGGCTGAAATGGAGTGTGTGGTTCAGACAGAGTTCCTGCACTGAGAACCTCTTAGGCCCAGGTGAAGGTTAATGTCAAGACACAAGAAGATCTCCAGGGGACGAGGGGCCCACAAATAGTGAAAGCACACAAAGATCTTCCCCCCTGAACCAACAGAGAAAGAAAATCTTTCTCTGCAGTTGGCACTGTGAATTTAGAGATTCCAGTCTCCTGAACTGTGTAAGACCAGGGGGATTGATTCACTGAGAGATGGGACAAGAACAGGAGCTGTAGGAAATGTCTACAGAAATCCTACTAGAAATGCCTGTCACCAAGACAACGAGAAAGGAGAAGACTACGCTTCGGAAACAGGGGACTCAGACAAAAAGTTGGCTGGAGGCTGGTTGGGTTGGAGGTGCCTGTGGGACATACAAGTTCAGGTGGCTATACTGAAATGAAGTTTGGGAGTTCAAGCAGGTCCTTGTGTTTTTAGACATCACCTTCCTTTAATGTGCACACCATGGCCATGTCATGACAGATTATGCCTAGTGGACTTTTTAATATATTTCATATTTTCAAAAAAGTCTTGTCTGATTGAGAGATGCAGAGGCCCTAACTGTCACACAGCGTTTGGGCTAGGACTGGGGCTAGGAAGCATGCATGTAAGTGTTATGTTCACACACACTTATGCGTTTACATGTGAGCACTTGGAAGGGGCAGAAGAAGACACTATTTCATTGTGGTTATTATTGATGAAATGATGATGAAGCAAAATATCAGCTGCCCTCTGGGGGAATACCTTTCACTGTATGATGAGCTCTGTGTGTAAAATTTAGAAAGGATTGTTTTGAGAAGCAGCCCAAAGCCACAGAGACAGGGACCGCTATACCACAGGCTAGCCCATCTCCAAGGTATGAACCCTTGGCCCCAAAGCCTGAATACTTCAGGGACTTCATCTCAGCACAGTCCTCCCTAATTGCATCAAGACAACGTGCCAATTAGAAGAACTTTCAGAGGATGACTATGGCCTCTAATGAATAGAAGACTTAAAACTTCAGCAAAATAGTGCACTTGGGAAGTAATTAGAAGTTTTTTCTCAACAATTGCTGAACATGGTCCTTAAGTATTTTCTCTACCTACAAATGTCATACGTGTTCACTGGAAAAAATACAGACTATACAAGTAAGTTTGGATTTGCCTGTATTATCTGTCTCACCACTAGAGACAAGCACGATGAAAATGTTGATGGATTTCAGGATGGAATGGACTCCATCAGATTCATTGTTGAGCACAGTGGCTAGAACACGTAATCACTGAGCAAATGCTATTGACTACTAAGTATTCCACAACTCGTAGGTTTAGGAAATTCTTGTCCTATGAAAAAATCTAAATAAAGCTCATTGGCATTTTTTTTCGAGTATTTTAATTTTATTATTTGTATTACCCATGAATACATTCACATTATCTCTGATTCACATAGGTGAGTACATTCACATTATAAATGATTCACATAATGTAAGAATATAGAGAGTGAAATGTAGACATGTTTGCTCACACACCTCCTCTGCCATTCTTCTTGGAAACCAACAACAGTTTAGTAAGTAGCTGCTCATTTTTTCTTTCTCCATTCATTCCACAGAATTGTCTCTCCAAAGGATGGGAGGCTGAGGCATTTGTCTGCTGACTCTGAACCCATCAGTATCCTGAGTATGTTTGATTTTCACTCAGTTGTGACCTAAGGAGGGAGACAATAGGCAGCATTCTCCCACGGACCAACTTGCATATATTGTCTCAGATGTAAAAACATGCTTCAAACACAAGACACAAACGATGGAAATAACTTTATTTCTCACAGGCCCTGAAGTTACATGGCACACTGGTATCCACGAAGGGAGGATGCGGGTGGAGAGAGCTCAGGGATAAAACCCTGAGGGGTAAGTGACCATTGGTCCTTCTGAAATTAAAGAGCTGGAAGTAAGGGAGATTAGCTATGGAAACGATCTCAAGGCAGGAGGAAAACTGGGTATTTTCAGTAGCACAGGAGGGGGCGGTGCCCCAGCTAACAGGATGAGGCGACCGAGGCACCATCAAAGATGGAGGCTTAGCTGATTCCATTACAATTGATTGAGGTCAACTCTGGACACAGGGCAGGCCAGCTGGTGGTAGAGTAGCTAGGATGGACTGGAGGCTGGAGTGGGATTACGGCATAAGGTACAGAATGGTTCCCTATAAGCATGGAAGGCTGACTCCACCAGGTACATGCAGAGAAGGGGCAACAAATTGCTCTGAAATGGGGAGGGGGAATGTGTCTGGGTATATGAAGACCAGGAATAGCCAGGCTGAAGATGATGGCGGCACAAAAGTAGAGGCAGAAAAGTGATCCAAGAGATCTATAGAGAAAGGCATGACGGGAAGCTCACTAGCAGGTAAATCTGTAGATTTTAGTGAAGGACTGAATGTTGGAAGAGCAAGGTGCATATTGTCAAAAAGACCTCTAGAATTGTGGCATAACTGGGTCATACTGAGATGGGGTCACAAGACACACACACAAAGAGTTCGGGGCAAGGTGACAGATTAAAAGTTAGTTACAAACGTGTTACATGTTTGAGCCTGTGACACATACAAGAGGAAAGGGCCGGGAAATCGGAAGGAGCTGCCAGACTGAAGACACAGTAGTAATTTCCCAGGACTCAGGGCACATGACCCTCACCAGCATCTGACAACTGATCACTCCCTCCTCCTTGCCATCAGAGAGCCTCATTCAGGTTCCAGGAGGCCAGCCCCTTCCCAGTCTCACTCCGTTTCCAGTGGACGCTCGGTCCTTGGGCCTCTTCACTCCACCACCCTTGTCCACGTCCCTGGGTGAGTTCAGACAAGCTCATGGCTTTGTATGTGCCAACACGGCCCCAGTACCTCTCCAGTCCAGACCTGTTTCTGGAACTCCAGACTCCCTTGTCCATCTGCCAAGGGACATCTCCGCTCAGATGACCCACCTGCACAACCCACCCAGAGCAGACTCCCCATCGGCCCCTCCAAACCACCTCCTCATCTCCCCACGGCAGCACGCGGCCACTCCATCCTGACAAATCTCTCTCAGTCCTGCATGCTGTTCATCCGCAACCCCCGGGGACTCGGCCTTCAAAATGGGTCCCTGATCTGAAGACCCCCCCCCCACACCTCCACTACTGTCACCCTGGTCCAGGTAGCCGCCAGCTTTCTGCTGGGTGTAGCTGACGTCTCCTCACTGACCGCTTCTCCAGGTGTCTGCCTGACCTGCACCCTCGCCTCCTTTGAACCTTGAAACTCCACCTTTGCAGGGAAGCATGCTTTGAACCGCCTCAGTCCCCACCACTGCGCACCCACCCTTCTCTGCTTGACTTGTTCTTTCTTCATCCCGTTCTCCCCAAATATGTCAGCTCTATGGGGAAAGGGCTGTCCCCTGGCCTCCGTGAGGGGCACAGAGGACCTGGACAATCACTCGCCGAATGAAGCTGCTCAATTGGTGTGTGTGGCGGTAGGTGGGCGTCCCCTCTCCTCCTCCACCCTCCCTCTCCTCCCCGGCCCCCAGGGAAACTGACGGAGACACGCAGGAGCCACTTTGGAAAATGACAGGTTGTTTATTGCTATGTTTGCAGTGACTTTTCAGCACAGTTAACACTGTCCCCTCAGGAGGGACGCCCCCTACGCCCCCACTCATGTCAAGGTCGGGGAGAATCCTTTCTGGAGTCCACTCAGCTGCCTGGGCTTCGGTGTGACCCCGACATGGGTTACAGCTGCTACATGGGAGACCTCAGACGTGCAAGGGGCACAGCCTTGACTTGGAGGAGGCGGCCATGCCCGGGACCCCTGCCATCCTAGCCCCATCCAGCGAGCAGGCTGTGGGCGAGAGGCCCAGAACCCACACGACGGAGCTCTGCACGCTCCCACCCTGCGGCGAGTGATGGGTGAAGGGGGCATGTGGGGACAGACACACCCTGCCCACAGCAATGCTGCCCCCACCCCGGTGTCCCCTTGGCCTCAGTGTCAAGGGCTGGGTCTCAGCAGCCTCAGGCCAAGGGACGGACCCCAGAGGGACACGATGGGCTTGGTCCAGTGCCAGCTGATCCCTTCCCAGACCACTGTCTAGGTGGGTCCCGTCCCAGGGTTGCCTGGCGGGAAAACAGTGGCGCCCCAGGCCTCTTCAGGCGGGTTTCTTTGTGCCTGCGCACCAGGCAGTCTCCTGTGGTGCCTCTGTCTCTTCAAAATGATTGGCTTTGGGGCCAGGACCGGTCTGGCGGGAACCAGTCATGTGAGTTTGTTGGCGCAGGCATCCTGGGCCCCATCGTGCACTGCTGAGGGACGGAGTTTCATGAGGGAAGCTCGTTCTCTAGGTCTAATCTGTCTCCCAAGGACCACAGCACACAAGGAGGCTGTTTGCGCAGGCATTCTTGGGTCACCTGGAGCATTGTGGGCTTATGCTTCATGGCAAAGTGCTCCATGTCTCTTATCTGTTGGTCCCCAGGGTCCACCCAGCAGGGAACAGCCACAGGCCCTCATCCTCAACTAGGTCTGTTTGCACATGCGCACTGGGTCCCATTATGCACTTTGAGGCGGAGTTTCTTGAGGCGCCTCAGTTTTTTCAAAAGCTCCTTCTGGATAGTACTGGTTCGGCGGGAAACAGTAACGTGCCCAACGGCTTCAAGCAGGTTTGCGCAGGCGCAATTGGTAAGAGGTGGAGCTTCATCAGGCTCTTAGGAAAGACTGGGCGGGGCCAACCTGGCGGGAAAGCTTCACGTGCAGGTCTTCTTCCCGGGAATCTGTTTGCGCAGGCGCACTAGGGCGTCCCCTGAGGCTTTAAGGGGTGGAGCTGCACGAGGTTCTCTCAGTCTCTGAGCGGCTGCTGGAGAGGACGGACCTGCTGTGATGAGCTCCGAGGGTGAAGACCGAGGCGCAGCCTGGGGGGTTGCAGAATCGGATGGCGACTTGACCAATGCACCCGGCCAGGACGAAGCTAATGCCCCCCGCGGCGCCAACGAAGCGAGAGAAGGTGGCCCAATTGGCATAGCTCCTCAGCCCCCGCAGGGAATGCACGGTCTGTGGGCTCGGGCAGCCTCAGGGCCCGAGATCGGAGCCCCGGCACCACAAATGCTGCAGTAGTATCCTATTTGAGGGTCTCGGAACGGGGTCACCTAGAAGTGACAACCTGGTGGGGGCAGGGGGCCGAAGGGCGATACTGCCCAGGGTGACCTGAGGGTAACCTGGGGACAACAGGCCAGGGAGGGAAGAGGAGTTGGAGGGGCAGAGCCGGTGTCGTGTGGTGCCTTAACCTCATGCTCCCAGCACCCTCACGGTGCCTTTCCGGACCAATGTGGAGGCAGAGATAGCCCGCGGATCCCTGGTCCGCCAGATGAATATCCATGTGCAGGTGTACGCGGAGATCATGGTGACCGGCAATGTTCTGGCTATGTGAGTGGCTGCGGGGGT